GCCCGATGCGGGACTCGATCCAGGGACTCCAGGATCATGACCTGAGCCGAAGGCAGTCGCTTAACCAACTGAGCCACCCAGGCGCCCCAAAATATCTTTTAATATGGGAATGCCCAAGTAAATCCTGGGTATGGTCATGCTATGGAATACTACACAGCTGTCAAAAAGAACGAAGCAGATTTCTAGTTTACTGACATGGGAGGAGTTGTTCTAATATATTTAATAATAATTTTTTTAAAAAAGCAAGTTGCAGAACTATACACAGAGTCTGGTCCCATTTAAGTTAAAAAATGTCTTAGGGGGGTGCATGGGTGGCTCAGATAGTTAAGAGTCTGCCTTTGGCTCAGGTCATGACCCTGGGGTCCTGGGATCAAGCCCCACATCAGGCTTGCTCAGCGGGGAGTCTGCTTCTCCCTCTCCCTCTGCCCCATCCCCCTGCTCATGCTCTCTTTTTCTGTCTCAAATGAATAAATAAAATCTTAAAAAAAAAAGTCTCAGCTGATCTTTGTGTATTTCACGGTATGTGTGTGGAAAGGCAATTTGGAAGGACACATCCCCAAGCCACTGACCAGGACCCCTCTAAGGTGGAAAGTGGGGCATGAAGAAGACCCTCGGGGAACACCCACATTTGCTCCACAGATTTTTTTTGCTTGAGTCTTTAGCAGTGAAAAAGTAGAAACTAAAAGATTTTTTAAATGGCAGAGATGGTTGTCTGAGTCCTTTCTCTGTGCATTAGTTCTCTGATTATAGGGGATGCTATTGCACTGAGAGCAGTGTGGACCCAAAGTGGGTAGAACACAGCTCCGTGGCAGAAGCCGTGTATTCCCGTGGCCTCTGTGAGAAATCCCAGGCCACAAAGAAGAATCAGCTATTCTTGGGACCACAGGTAAGAGTGTTAGCAGCAAAGGTGACCACTGAGCAGTTTAAGAGCTGAATCCTGATACACAGGAGGCCAGTGTTCTGTGACAGGGCACAGCAGGGAGGGCAAGCGAAAGCAGCCGTGGTACCTTGCATGAGCACCTCCATGGCCGTCCGCGGCTTGGACAGCTGCCTCTCCTCCAATTCACTGTCAAATTCGTCATCTTCCTGGATGTCAATGTCCGAGTCATCATTACCTGGGAGAACACAAGTACGCAAAACAAAAGGGCAGCTCCATCATTACCGCTAAAACAGCTTCTATCCACAAGGCTCTTATGCAAAACCATCTACACTTCTCAGCCTTTCTTTTAGTGCATTAGATTTTAAGAGACTCAGGATTCGCCTGTAGATACTTAGGAGTTACTGCAGACAATGATATACTGGTTTGTTTTTTTAAACAATCTTCCACAGCAAGACAAAAGTGGATCAGAATATATCAATTAGAAACACTCTGGCAGCTGAAACTAAAAGTTGAATAGCCAGCTGTCAAGGTAGTTCAAAGTTCTTGGTTAGTTCGGGGGGGAACCACTCTCTGTTCAGTATTAGGTGATGTTACCCCAACCTGAGCTCTTTGTGGATAACAAAGATGAGGAAGCGGAGCCCCCTGAAAAGGTGAGTGACTGAGCCAAACAAGCCTGCAGGGAAGACGGAGACCAGGCCAGGAATGGCCGAGCACGGCTGGCCTGAGAAAGATGGCGACCTAATGAGTGGCAACAAGAGCTGGTACTCAGGATACTGCTTCCGGGAGAGAATTCATCATAGACAAATATAAACAGAGATTGTTCTCAGTGCAACAGCCTTATACATTAATTTCTTAAATACTCTCCTGGAGTCAGGTTGGACATTTCCTACAGTGAATCTATAGAAGGAGAGTTTCCACAGTGGAGAGAAAAAGCTTTCACTGACCAGCCTGATTCCCTGCAACCAGGGAGAGACACTGGTTTTGGAAGGACGGAACTGGAGGAGTTTGCAGTTGCTGTTCTGATCACCGAGTCAGAAGTCAGTTTGGAAGGATAGTAATTGTGCATCTATGAAAAGGCTTCGCTTAGCCCCTGTGATAGGGGGTAATGAAATGGCAGCTGCATCTAGCTGGGCACCAAGGGAAAGTGCTCTGCTTTCTTCACCATGAAGGGAAGAGCTGTGCTCTCCAGCATGGAAGGGCTAACCTTGGAGCCAGGGCAAGTGTGAGGAAGCGCACCCTGCCCGGGCCTCAACACAACCTATCTGAAAACTACCACCTTACAAAAGCCTATACAGAGAATATGGTGAAATATTAATACAAATTCATGACTATAAATTGAAATTACTATTCAACTTTGCTCACTTTCTATTTCATCCAGGAATATTATGATATTATATCATTACCTCATGCAATATAAATCAAGTATTACAAATTTTAAAATATCAACACGTTTCTCAGGCTCAACATGATTTCTTCTGACAAACTTCAGCCAATACACTAAATTAATGCATGCTGACACTGAAATCACCGAGTTATAGTGATGCATTAAAATTAAGTATGGCAGGGGCACCTGGGTGGCTCAGTTGGTTAAGCATCTGCCTTCAGCTCAGGTCATGATCC